GCTTGTAAGGATTACCCATTTTTGACACTCCGGGCCAGGAGGACCGATTTATAGCCCGCCTTCAACTGAGGAAAAATGTTTAACATCTTTTCTCCCATGACTTCAGGCCCCGCCGTCTAGCTAAATTAGTGGCGTAAAACCCAGAAGCCCAAGTTTATTTCCGAAAGACTCTCAGAGCGTCAGCGTAACTCCGAATGACACTATCCACGACTGGCTCTGTGATGAAATCAACGACCGCCAAGCGAACTCATAATACTCGTTAATTTGAATAGCACTAGGCTACCATTCGTTTGAGAGGCCATGGAGGCCAAAGAGCCAATGACCAAACGGTGCCGATAGTGCCAACTTAATGAGACCGGGACAGGGTTTGGGGTGGAGTACACCCAGGGACCAAAACCTTCGTAGATTCAAGCTTGCGCTGCACAAGTCCGGCGGAGGTGTCAGACAATGTGGGGTGGAACTAGTCTGTGGGGAAACCAGTCCGGGTTTTTCCTCCATTCAGAGGAATTGTCGGGGTGCAATTTTCCTGTGGGGGAATCGGATGGCTTGATCGATGCCTGTCTGACGCAGAGATGCTGTGCCGAGGTAAGCAACACCAGTCAGCTTGACCAGAAACCCAGCACGGAGCGAGTAAACATACTTCCAGGTTCAAAGGGAGAGCTAGATGATATTTCAATGAGTGAGGTCATTAGTTGATGTAAAAGGTAGTATTGTAGGGAATTGTGATGAATTTCGAGATGGAGATAATGACGGGAGAGTGCAGGATTCCAGCCCACACAGTAAGAGAGCCCAGCGCGCACATGACCGCGACGCCACCACCAGATCAACTGCATTGGTACGAGATCATGATTTGAGATCTGAACAAGATAATATTATTGCCCAATTCCAAACGATTTCTGTTGACTAAATTACAAAAACTTTTCCAATTCCATTCCGACACCTTAACCAACAGCCTCCATGTCCAACAGTGGATGAGGTTCCAAAAAGAAGTATGTACACACACAATAATAGGGATCTGTCACCAGGTAAACGGGGAAAGATTATGAACAGCGGGGGTGAAACAAGGAAGACAATAATCCAAGAGAAGCTGTCCAAGAGAAGCAAAGTACATTAAGAAACCGTATGTAACCGGGCCCGTGGATAGGCTGCTAGCCTGACGGCGACCACATCAGATACCGTGGGCCATCAGACAGGAACCAACCCGGGCCCGGCGGGGGGAAAACCGCGGGTCCTGCATCTTGCAGGATGGTCGATGAATCCCGAGGGATACCGACCGACGTATCGTACATCCCCGAACCGCCACGATGAAAGGCCGATTTCGCGATTCGGGCCGAGGCAACAGGTTATGTCACCTCGAGTTGATCTTCGTAAGAATAGTTTTATCCTTCTATACTGGTTTAGGGCTCCAGAGAAGTCACCCATAACCAGCGCTGCCGAAGACTTAGGCAGAGCGATCCAGAACCTCGTAGGGGTTGGAGTCTTTAGTGTCCACGACAATGGTCGAGCTCTGAAGCTCTTCCTTAGTCGCCTTCTTGGCACCCTTCTTGCCGCTGACGGTCGAGAAACCCGAGTCGGAGTCAGCATCACTGCCCGCGACACGCGATTTCTGCTTGGCAGCAGTTGCGCGGGTGCGAATAGGAGAGTTCTCAGCAGGCTTCTGCTGGTTCTTCTGTGCCCGGAGGGCCTGGATCTTGTTCACAGCCTCATCTTCGGTAGCTTCACTGGTCTCTCCGTTGACCTCGACGGCCTTGCGGATCTCGCGACTCACGCCTCTCAGGGCATCCATTCCGGCTTTCTCAGCGGCGTGCAACTGAGTCGGCTGACGGGGACCGGGCTCCTTGCGGTAGAGATACGAGCGAACGAAGAACCGGGCAAAGAGGTAGGTCAAGGGCAGAAGGTACATCACGTTGAGCCAGATAGCGAAACCCTGGCCACTGGTGTCCATACAGGTCACCATCGGTCCGACATGGAGGACGCGCGCACCAGCAGCAGCTTCCGGAACGCCCACATTCTCGGCAATACCTTCCGCACCCGCAGCGCGGAACCCGAGCTTCTTGAGCCATGGCCCAAGTCCAGCACCGGCGGTACCAGCCGGCACAGTTGGGGTGTCAACAGGAGAGGCCGGAGCGGTCTGGCCCACAGGAAGAGTGTAGCTGAAGAACAGGTAAGAGGCAGCCATGGTGGAGCCAATGATAAACTGGGTGATTTGCATGGTGGTCAAGGATCTCTTGATTACGGTGGGGACGCGAATGCGCAGGGCAGTCACAGTGTAGTAGGTGTACTGCAATGGACGGTCAGGGCATATGAGCAACAAATCAAAAACAACCCGAGAGGGACTTCACATACCATCAAAGCATGAATTCCAGAGTTGACCAAGGTGAAGATCCAGATAGGAGCTGCGACGTAACGGATACCGGCCCACATGCACATCATGGCACCGGCGTGATGGTAAGTCTGCAGGGTCGAGCTCTTCTTACCCTTGGCCAGGATAATGACGGTATCAAGAACCTCGTAGAACTTGGACAGGTAGAAAATCCAGCCGAGGAAGGCCAGACCCTCATTCCAGAGACGACCAAGATCAGAGGGGTCCGGAACACCGCCTGCAGCCAGGCTGAACTCGGGGTTGCGGAAAGTCCACTGGTCGACAGTAGAGTCGTACGTAGCCGCGTTACCGTAACCACGGGGTCCATTGATCTTGCACAGCGTATCGGCAACAGCTGCGACGTAGTTGGGATCATCCCGACTGGGCCACGAGCTGCGGAACGCACGGATCATGCCCGCAAAAGTCCATGCCGAGTAAATGGCCAGGAAAACGTTGTGGAGGATGACGAACAGCTTGAAAAGACGCGTCTGACTGAATCCATAAGGCTTGTAACCCCGGCTCTTGTTGATGCGATTGACGAGGACCACGGTCACAGCGTACACACTCGCAATTGTGATCGGAACGCGCACGTCCAGTAGCTTGTTGTAGAGCGTCGGGGGGATGTTGAAGGGCTGGTTCCATGTCGGCTCGGAGATCACAGGGGCGGGGACAGTGGCCGGGAGCTCGCTGGGAGGGAATTTCAAGAGGGACGAAGGAGGTAGGCCGATGCGAATGACGGCCGGGTTCGCCTCGCCGTGGACGGTGAAGTCGTACATGGTCGGGACGCGATTTCGTGCGACTTTGGGACGACCCGACGATAAGGGAAAAGATACGGATGGGAGTTTGAAGAAAAGAATCAGGAGGGAAGAGAGGGTGAGAATTGACCTCTTTAAAAAGAAATGGTGGGACAATTCAGTTAGCCCGAGCCGAAAAGAAGAAAATCACCAGAAAAATTTCCAGGCCAAGCAAGCAAGTCCACTCGCACGACTGGAGGGGAGATGGCGCAAATCCCGCTGTGAACTGGGGATAAGCAGCAATTGTAAGGCGCGACCAAAACCTTACGCGAGCGTGGAGGAGGGGAGAGGGAGGAGGAGGATAGGCAACGGTTGGTCGAACGAACGGTGATCGCTGGTGACAAGGAGTTAAAGCAAGGCCGATGTGATTAATTCATAATTGAGGTCAGTCAATCTCCGGATTGCAGTTGGACCGTGGATCAATGAGAGTCACGATGATCGCGGCGAGTGGAGCCGCGCAGCGTTTTGTTGGGAATTCGGCCAACCTTCAAGCCTCGGCCCAACAAAGTGGTTACTGGAGAGCTCTGGCATGCTTGTGAAAGATACTGATAAAGATGATGATGATGATGGATTGGCATTGGAATTGCATGGGGGTTTGGGGGGTCTTCCCCCTTGAAGGAAGTCATCCTTCATCCTATACAAGCTGACTGCATTTGTTGGAGATGATATAAGATCTTGTCTCTCCCACTCACATGATGACCGGCCCGGATTCACTGAATATTTCTCCGCCTCGACAAACAAACCGAACAGGTCACCCTCCGCAATTGCTCTCAACCGCATGAAAACAAAGTAGTACAACATCTCCCATTGCCCCAATACACTCCCTTTTCTTTATCAATCACCTAGGACAACACACCCAGAAATGAATTGAGTTGCCTTAAAACGGCATGACATCAACCAGCGGAAGTGACAGCCATTCCAACCACGCCATTTAAGGATTTGGTTTTCTCCAACAATTCGATTTCCGGCCTTCCAGAAGCAGCACAGTGGATCCCGTGACTGCACCATGACTCGTGGTGCTGACTCAGCGACTGACATCACCCAACCATCATTGACTCGACGAATCCGGCCCTCATTGGCCAGAAGGACAAGTAGATACTGGCAAGTACCTGACGTACTATTTGTAGTAGAAACGCAATTGCCTGGCAGGAATTGCCCTAAGCACAACTCTAGGTTTACACGAGAAGCTGCCCAGTTAGACGTTTGTCAGTAGACAAGGATTCTGAGCCTAGCGGGTCAGAACGCACATCACTCGTGTTTCTCTATGATGATCATCAAGGTCATGCCGTCAAGTCTGGAGTTCATCATGTATCGACTCACTGGCGTGTGTTCGAATATTAGCAGCTTCTGTGGTCGTAGCTTACTGTTTCCCGTTAACACCAGGATTAGAGGGAAGACAGCAGTTCCATAACAGAGTACATGCTCAACTGAGAGGCCTCGTATTATTCGGTAGTATTACTAGCAAGATTCTGTTACTCCTCATCGTCCTCGAATACAGGATACATAAGCCTAGTATTACTGGATAATGACACAAGCGTGGCATGTCACCGACTAGTGTCGGAATAAAAGAAGTGCGATTTCCAATCCGGCATTTTGATTCAAGTAAGTACTCCCTTATGAACGCCTCCACACGCAGAACCCCGTCTGTTAATCCACAATCCATCAAAGTACCAGTTTCCGTATTCCACATACTAAGATGCATGTATATACAAAAGCGAGAGTGGGTATGTATGTATGCATGCACGTACGTATCTTCACATGACAAGACAAGAACGTAGACAAAGCATCGAAAGCGAATGGTAGCAACTTGGTATATTTATCTTCCAAAACTGAATTGAAGATCGCTTGCTAATTGGAAACGAGAGAAAAAGTATCAAATGAATAAATTTTTCTTGAGTGAAAAGGTAATTTCAACGACGCATAGCCGGCCTTCGCTCATCATCTTCAAATGACGATACAGACGATACATCATCCATATCCCTAGCATGGGTATACGATCGACGTGATATCTCAGATACTGCGTCGTCGAGTGGATGATCAAAGGGCGATATTGGACGGTCAAGTCTTGCTTCGGGGGAGGGCCAGGCGGCTGGCATGGTGGGCTGGGGGCTTCTCTCGGGATTGTTGTTGTCTCTGTTGGGGACTTCTGCTGCTGCTGCTGCGGCTGCTCCTGCTCCTGCTCCTGCTGCGGCTGCGGCTGCGGCGGTAGCAGCGGTATGAAAGTTGTGGTTATTCGTACTTGGTGGGCTAAAGTCGCGGGGATGATTGTTCGTAGGGTTGATATGCTCGGGTTCTTGCGGAACAGGGCGACCTGGGATGGGACCCGTGAAGGGGATGTCGTGGGAATTTGTGGGCGCAAATTCCCATGTTGCGCCGTTTGCTGCTTGCTGTGGTCGTTGCTGTTGTGGAGGTGATCGTACTTGGCGAGGGACTGCGCCCATGCTGACTGGGGGTTGATTGATGTTGGTCTGTGATATGGTGGCACGGTTGCGCTTTTGACGCCTGCGTCTTAGAATGAAGAATAGTAGAAGTGCGATGATAGCTGCGCCAACGACTGCAACGGGAACCGCTATAGCGATGGTTTGGTTGTTGCTGCTAGAACTGCCGGAGCTGCTGGTGCTTTTGACAGCGGTAGAGGTGGAGGTACTCGAGGAGGTTGAGGATGAATGGGTTGCAGTTGCGGTGGCAGTGGTGGGTTGTGAGCTTGACTCACTAGTGGTGATCGGGGTCCATTGCTGGGTGGTGGTCCTGGTGGTTTCTCCAGGATAATACGTTGCTGTGGTAGTGTGCTCCGATCCCCATGGGTCCTGCGTGGTGAATTCTGACTCCCCGCCAGGGTTGTAGTTAGAGCCTCCGCCTATGCCGGCCATTTTGCCAATGCTCAAATTCTGTTCTCGACTGGTTTTATCCCGCCTACGTGGTGGTGCAGAACAATGGGGGCTTTATATGTGCGTCGTGCCGGGATACAAAGGAAGGTGGGCAGTGGTGATAAATCTTAAGGAATGTAGTGGCCCTACACAAGGGCGATCTTTTATTGAACAAGGTGGGATATGCCGGACTCGACTATAGCCATGATTAAACAATGGAACACCTGAGATTCACGTATGAGAATGGACCTACCACATGGGAGCCCTCGGGCTGATTCTGTAGGCTCTTGTTGAGAAAGCTTTCTATACTAATGTACGTCGGGAACACCCAGACATGCCAGTCACAGAGCAAACAAAGAGCCTATACGCGCCTATGCGTATGTGAGAAATGAGAACATACGGGGAGAAATAAAAGAAAAGCACGGATCCTGCCCGGGAAATAAAGATGGGGAAAGAAAACTGCCCAAGCTAACACAAAGGAAGGCTGACATGGCGCAGCAGCTCCTAGTGAAGGACTACTGAGGGTACCAAGTATAGATTCGGACGGAGGGTCGCTCACTGCCAATCAGCAGTAAAGTTGGCGGCACAGCACGAAGCGCTGCCCACCATCCAGGACGACACGCATGCATCTCGCATCCGTTAGTCAACAGAGACGAAACAACGGACAAGCCTCTCCTCCCCGAGGCTCAGTTAGTACGGAGTAACTAACTACGATAGGCGCCGACATTGACAGGCGGTTTAGTCTGGGAGGGCGGTTCCATCTAGCGCTGTCGTGGACCGGGACCGTTTATATATCTGCCCTATGAGATACAAAGACAAGGCGCCTAGCAGGCATCCAAACAATAATAATTTTCTTTGGCTGCGAGGTGGGATGGTGCTAATAGGGCCGCGAATTTGGTAGCCCTGAGAGGGAGTGACTTAGCTCCAATCATCGGCCCGCTAGTCTGATCGACGCATTAGTTTGTCGTGTTAAGAGAACGGAGACGTAGCAGCGTTGCGTGGCCCCGACATGGGGGCCAAAGGATCCTTGACCGTCGCAGACAGCCAGTTATACTGTGGCCTAAGGAGACCCCAGGGATGATATGAGATCATCGCATACCCCGGATGACCAGCCGGTGTGTTTGTGGGACGAAAATAACTTAGTTATGCAGTTGAAGTATGTAAGAAGAGTAAGCAGGAGCAATGCATGACTTGAAGCAGTTCGTAAATCCAGCGAACGGCCATCACATGACCCCGGAAATTGGAGATGGCCGGATCCGGTTAGGCGCGGGGTGGAGTGCGGACCGCCCACCAAAAAGGGACTAGTGCCACGGCACTGCCTCGCTCTTCTTATCTCTCCGGTCCCGGTCGGATCGGCGTCATTGCAACTACCTAAGTACTCCACTGAAACAACTTATTTGCTGGTTCAACGCCGCTGTTACAGAATCATGAGTGGACTCAAGGGGGTAATGAAAGAGGGCTGGCACCCTAAGGGTAAGGATGGAAAGAAGGAAAGTTGGAGGAATGACTTTAAAGGCATAAATCAAGTGGTTAGTGTCTTCCACCCCCGGCTCCAATCAGGCCACTAGCTGATGTGAAATTACCTCATTCTAGGCAGGATGGATGGGGAAGGGGAAGGACAACACCAACGATCGTGAAGAGCATGTCTCGGCACCTCTTTCTTCGCTCAAGGACCCAGCATCTTTTGGACCACCGCCGAAGCATATCAAATATCATGGCGCTGCCGCTCTGCCGAATGAGACAACGCCGGATCGGAGAGGTCTAGGTGCTCCGTTGCCACAAGAACAGATAGATCGCCAAAATGCTCAAATGCAAGAACAGCAGCAACAAATACAAATACAGGAGGAGGCTGCTCAAAAACCAGCACCCCCACCGCTGCCATATCGTGCAAACCGGACGGGTCTGGACACCTCTAACCTTCCGCCGCCCCCAGTCAGACGCATGGGTTCTCCAGCAGATTCCATACCACCCCCCAGTTCCAGACCCAAACCCAATCTTCCGCCGCGACTTCCTTCTCGCAACAATTCGACTCCATCCCCGCACCCGCCTACCCCACCCCCAGCTTACTCTCCCCATTCTCAGACCCCTTCGCATGCCGAAGAATACATAAACCAAGGCGCTGCTTCCCGCCTTTCCCAAGCTGGTGTGTCAGTACCTGCACTTGGAATAGGAAATAGTGCCGGTCAATGGGGAAGAGATAGCAGTTCTCCCGGGACTGCATCCCCGGCAATTGCAGGCTCCGTCGGTCAAGCACCGGTGAACGAATTGCAATCACGTTTCTCGCAATTGAGGACCACCTCCTCGAGCTCTCCTGCTCCTCCCCCGCCGCCAGCACGAACTTATACGAATGGCAGCACGGCCCAGTCTGTATCCAGCCCGGAGCCCAGAAGTGGCTCCTCTACAGTCAGTGAATTTCGGGAGCGACATAACGACAAGATCCAAGCGGGAAAACAGAAGCTGAATGGGCTGAACGAGAAGTACGGGATTTCCCAGCGAGTCAACAAGTTTTTTGACGACCAGAAGACTCCAAGCACTCAAGCACCTCCGGTGCCACCTCACCCGAATGCAAATAGCTCGACATCCAGTGTTGACACGGATGCATTGAGTAAAAGAAAGGCTCCGCCGCCACCACCTCCTCCAAAGAAGGCGGGGATGCGTTCAACGCCTGTCGCCGGGTCAGCCCCGACGCCGCCGCCTCTTCCTTTGAACACCAAGCCCCGTTGAGCGGAGGTCTTGACTGATGTGTTAGCAGTCCGCTTGGCTCATTGATGGGTCATGTATCATTAGTATATATATCGTTGCATAGCCATGTCACACTGTATGGCTATTATCACTATAACTGTCCCGACATTATCGGGTGGGGCATCACAGGGTTAGTGCTCAACGCAGAGTAGAATCCCTGCCAACTACCGATTGCCAGGCTCTACAAATTGAACTCATCTGATCCTAGTACCCAACAATGTTCAGAGAAGGCCACCACCCCCTCTACCAGATCGATCGTCCAAGCACGCAGCTAAGCCATCCATCTCTTGAACAAGCACAACCCGATCATTACATTTTCGAGCGGTATCAAAGTCAATCAACGTAGCTTTCCCACCACAGATAAGAAAATTAAATGCATTCGTATCCCCATGACAAACCCCCAGATCATGCAGCCGCCCCAGTACCTCCCTGCAGCTCTCAACATCCCGAATCCCTGCATGCCGCGCACCTCCTATATATTCAATCAGAAACCCAATCACGCGTCCACTCTCCGTTACGTGACCAAGGAACCCAGGCCCAATACCATGACCCGATATCCACTGATACGCCGTAGTTTCATTTCCAATGTACTGGACCTCCCAGGGAAACCGCGCGAACTTGGCGACGACAACATTATCGTACTGTGGACATTTGACCTTATAAACTCCCGTCCGTAATTTCCTTTCCACCGTAAGATCCAAGTAGTCGACTTGAGTCCCATGCCAGATGTCTTGGACCCCGGGAAACTGGGTCCATTTGATGGATGTAAAGCACGGTTGAGTATCGTTTGCGTCTCTGGAAACTAAGCCTTCGTTCCAATCTCCAGAGGGAAAATCCGGTAGAATGGAAATTAAAGACGGACCGAAACACATCTCCTCTGTGCTGTAGATACCGGGTTCAACGGTGATGTACTTGATGGATTGGCCGTTAACTAAGAGGCGGAAGAAGCTTTGGTCATTCTCGTCGACTTCGGCTTGGAGGAGTTCGATTTGCTGTTCATTGGCCATGATGGGAAAGGAAGGATATGGGTATAACCTAGGCTATGGTGTGATTTCTTGGTGTGGCAGTGAAGCATAAGTGACTGTGGTGGGCTTTATCTGAAGATGGGCGGTTGTAGGAAGGCTCCGATTCGATCGATGTACGGTGCTCGGACCTTCGTGCGTGGTTGCATCGACTTTATTTCACTAATTCGGCGCTTATATACATGGCTGCTAATTAGAAGAAGGGTGCGCTTTTTATTTTGTAAATCTTCATCTGTAAGGGGTATCTCTTTCAGGTAGGGCGGGCTAAGAAGGTATTAATCACGCATATGAACAATTTGCCCCATATTTGAAGACGACGCTCAATAGAACCTTGATAAACTTCGTTTCTCCAGCTACTACAATCAAAGTTTTGTTTATTCATGTTTTAACTAGGTAAAAGTGGGCCTTACCAAAGCAGTCTATTCGTATGATTCTGCTGTTCTATATCTGGAAAGCACTAGTCAACTAGTTTACTGTGCTCGTCTGTTGTAATTAGGGCTTTATGCGTGTATCATGATAATGTCTTGAATCAATGGATTTGATGAAGTATCCTCAGAATAGCATATGTCCGCGTCAGTTTCATAGTAGTAGTCGGCGAGAATCGTATGATATTCATATCATTATGTTCGGCTTCGGTGAACTCCCGTTTAGGTCAAAACGCACCGAACGTAAGGAATGAACAACACATATACAGCAACAATTAGTTAAATTCAGCTTAATGCACAGATAAATGAATAACGCGGTTACCGCCATATATACTTCCTCGTGGACACTCCTTATACCTCAGCAGAAATGTACTTGAGATGCACATTCGGCGGGTTTTACCCAAAGTGGTTAGCAGGGAGGATTGCCATCTCCTCCTTCATTGTATTTATGAAATGGGACCATTCGGTCATATCAATTCTCCTCCTTCATTTTGTCACTGATGTTCCGTGTCAAGATGAAACGCCCTTATGATATAATTGTATATGGTGCCACCGGCTACGTGGGTTCACTGGTGGTGCAGTACCTGTGGACTCACGGTCCAACAACCCTCCGATGGGCAGTTGCCGGACGCAATGAGCAGAAGCTGACAGTCCTTGTTGACTCCTTGGATCAGACTCAATCCCACAGCAAGCTGCTTAATATCCTGGTGGCCACCAATAGCGACGAGGACTTGAAGTACATTGCATCCCAAACACGTCTTGTGCTCAATACAGTCGGAGTATGTACCTGGCTATATCGTACCGGATTATCACCAAATTGAACCTGACAGACGGTATATAGCCTTATTGCAAGTACGGAACGCCTGTCGTGACAGCCTGTATAGAGAAGTCCACCGCGTATGTGGATTGCACAGGGGAACCTGTCTGGACGCAGCAGTTAGCAGCACAATGGCACGAAAAAGCGATGGCGAACAAGGCAATTGTATCCCCCCAATCCCTCTCTTCCCCAGTGCGACTATATAAAAGAGAGATAAATTAACAAAAGCAGATCATCCCCCACTGCGCCGTCGCAGCAACCCCCCCAGACCTAGTGACACTCCTCCTATCCCGGCGAATCCGCCGACCTCTAGGTCCCATGATTTCTACAATCCAACACTCCTGGACCGGCCACAGCGGAGGCGTTATCGAAAGCATCCTCGCCGGCCTGGAGACATACTCTCTCCGACAGATACTGGCCGCCAGTTCCCCACTTGCATCCTGTATCCCAGACGCCGGACCACACCGACCCCATCCTACCGCACCGAAACTCCCCGTCCAACGGAACTGCTTCCTCGGCGACCTCACCTTCAACCCCTCTGCAGTAGCGGAGCAACTTGTCGTCATGCGCACCTGGTCACTCTTCCAGCGGTATGGGGACCGCACCGAGCAATATGGTGATCAGTTCAGCTACCACGGCTATACAGCTGCGCCGGGGTGGCTGCACGCGTGGTCTTCGTTTCTAGTCATGTCCGTGGTGCTTGTCTGCACTGTGCTATTCCGGCCTCTCAGGTCGCTGATGAGGTGGCTTGCGCCGCAGCCGGGGACAGGGCCGCAGTTGAAGCCTGGGGAGAAGCATTTCGTGGAGTGGAAGGCCACGGTTGCGGCGGCTGATGGAGGCGGACCGAGGGTCTTGGGTGTCATGCGCATGGAGACGGATGTGTATAGCGTCTGTGCTATACTAGTTAGTGAAGCTGCACTGGCCTTGCTGCAAGTTTTGGATGGCAAGGATGACGAAGACTCAATGGTGAAGAAATTGCGAGGTGGGGTTCTTACCCCGGCTTCATTGGGAAATCAGTATGTGCAGCGGTTGGAGATGGCGGGATTGCAGTGGAAGGTCATGAATATCGAATAGTAGCAATACTATCTTCTCTGAAATAGTTATCTGCATATAAGAACAACTTCGATGTAGGAATCATTCTCCAACCAGCCAAAAATAAAGGCATTAACCATTTCCCAACTTTATAAACCAAGTTCACCATCCTGAATGGACTGTTTGTAGCTTGTTATATGGTATGACGAGACTCTTTTGTTAATCAGGTCTTGTTACCCCCATAATGTATGAGCTGTTGGACGTTAGCAGACACCCTGGTTCGAGTCCGTCCACTTAGGCAAAATACTCAGAGGAAAAGCCGTGACTTACTTGCCCAAGTAGATATATATGGCCTGTTGTAGTCGCTACAATTATCGAACCAAAGTAGCAGGCTCCGTACTCTAAAAATGCATATTCTTCTCAAGCTCCTTCTTCAGCTGTCGGAGTTCTCTCCGCAAAACCCCAATCTTCCCCGTTCGGCGCTTATTGTTTCCTGACTCCTCCCCTTGAATGACAAGCTCAATCATAGCAGGGGTGAGCAATCCCCTTCCAGCTCCAGAAACACAGATTTCCTCGATATCATCCCTCTGATGGGACTGCCCATGCATCTGAGGGTGAGAGGAGGATCTCTCTTCAGACCGGGATTGCGCGCGCATCACCAGGCCACGTTCCCACTCGTCGACACCAAGGGCGCGCTCAATTTCGGTGAGAAGATGGGATATGACCTGGATGATCATCAAGATCTGTAAGGCACCGTAGCTGGCAGGTTGGAATCCACCCCACTGCAACTGCGGGATAACGGGGTGCATTTTTTGGCGATAGTCCGGGCCCCCGGACCTCGACTGTACGGAGAGTGCGTGGACGAAATGCGACGTCTGTGTCAGGACGGTCAGGTAAATGTCGAGAATCCGCGCGTAGCCAGCACTGAAGAGAAGCGCCGTGGGTGAATCGCGGTTGCTTGCTGTGTAGGCTGGTCGGACTTCTCGGGTCGTGGTGGTGGTAGGAGACGCAGAGTGAGGAAGATACCCGCCCACTGGTGGGGAGATAGGTGATGACCCCTGGCTTGAGGTGTCGTCGCTGTCTGGGTGTGACGGTTCCTGGCCTATGGAGGACGAGGTCGTCGCTGACACAGACGGGACGGGCAGTGATGCGAAATAAACGTTTGCTTGCTTTGCAATGTCGATGAAACGTTGTGTTTGCTTGAATATTTTGATCAATGGATACTCGCGAGCGAGCGTGTCGTCTGGCAGGTCACTACCGCCACAGGTGCTTAGTTTGGTGATCACGGCGGCTGGGGACGCAAGCATCGGACCCCATGGCTCGGCGTGGAGAGACTGTTCGAGGTCCAATAGCGACAGGTTGACGTCGGAGATCTCTCGGGTGATGTCGCACAGAGAGTCTAAACCAGAGGGTACACTCCTATCTTCGCGGATCCCGGGTTGAGTGCCCAGGCCTGCTAATCCATGGGCAGGCAGTTGAAGAAAGTCAGTTAAACTGGGCATCGGAGGAACAACACTGTCCGGAGTCCATAAAGGAGGAATGGCATTCTCCTGCGAGCTATCATGAGAGCTTGCGAAGCTGAAGATATCGAACATGTTCCATTCAGCAATGGATGGTGGTCCTGATGGCGGCGGTACCCCTGCTATCCCGACAGTAGCAGCAGCAGCAGCAGCAGCAGCAGCAGGAGGAGGAGGAGGAGGAGGAGGAGGAGGAGGAGCCGAGCGACCGTTCTCTTCTGGTGTCATTTCTGATATATTAGATGCTCGTTTGCGACGTTTCGCCCACGCATTAGGTTCAGGCTCGGCAGTAATCCTTGCTGGACGACCGCTCCGTGATGGAGGACTCCAGATGCATTGCCGGTTCAGGCGGTGGCATCGAACGCACACTGTACGGTCCTCCAGCTTGGTGCACCGCAGCTTTTGTGTGTGACACTGGTCGCAGGCAACGCGGCGCGCAGACGGATTCACAATGACTCCTACATGAGAGGAAAGTGGCTGGGTGGACATGATATGAGTTGGAGGCAACTGGGGAAGAATCGGGCAAGGAGGAAGTAGCGGATAAGTATTCTATGTTCAATTATTGAGGATTCAACAGCCTATAAGATGAACCTTGCCACAATGGGCATGAAGCAGAGGAAGGAAGCAGGATCGGTTAGTTATTCCAAAGGCCTGCTTAGTCTGACCAGGATGTTTGACTAGGTGATTGTGGCCGCATGGTACAGCTAAAAACGGTGAGGTGACTGTCTCGCGGACGTTGGACTCGCTCATTGATACATTGTTATATTATTCGTCAAATCGATTGTCCCATAATTTGGAAGAGGCATAATTTGCAAAGGTTGAGTGAAATACAAATAGATATGCCTTATGATGATATTATCACCGAGTCTAGCCCTCATCTCACGTCAGCCCAAGAAGTGAGCACTGACCACCACTTTTCCTCCCATGGCAGTTTGTTGGTTGAGGGTATTACCTCTGCTCCTCTTTACTACTCTTATTATTCGCATCTGCTGTCTGTTGGAAACTTACTCTAGATATGGGGATAATTGTTTAGCATACAGACTGGATCTCTGTCTAATAAATTATACTACTTGAATCTCCTGCAACAGACATTGACTATATGGGCCTATCACGTAGCGTTCATTTATGTTGCAAGTCAATCTATACCCACAGTATGTACAAAAAATAGCTTATACTATATATACATCCATCATCTATCGACCCTTGCCAAAATCGGGCTGGTAGGCCTTAACTTTACCCTTGGACAGCTCCCGCAGAGCCATGGTGGCATACTGGCTCGAACCAAGCTGGAACTTGAGCACAATAGCAAGCTTCTCCTGTGCATCGGAGGACGGTGTCGCTTCACCAGGTGTTTCAGTCTCAGCCTTCTTGCCTTGGAGCTTTTCCAAGTCGGTCTGAACGAACTGCTCATCATCCTGGCTATACACGTGCACATCGAAGGAGAAGTCGGGTCCGGGACGGTTGAGCAGCTTGCGGTAGCTACCGGTAAGACTGACCTCCCTCCACTTGCGACGCATGTCGAAGGGATCGAGACCGCCACCCTGGGCACTGCCCATGAACTGTTTGTAGAAGTCCGTCATCTTGTTGGACGGGTAGAGCACATCGTAGCCGGGCTGGGTCAAAACGACATCGAAGATGCTGTACTTGCCGCTGGCTGCCTCTTCGGCCGTCAAGGCGCGCGCACGGGTGATTCCTTCAGAGACATAGGCGCTGTCTCCCGCCTGCGGGGTGATGATGACTTCGCCATCGGCGTCAACGTCGCCCGCAGCGGCAGCTGCTCCGGCGTCTTCCTTGTCGCTGTGCTCGTGCACCAGCACGAGATCACCCTCCACGACCTTGTCGCCGTACAGGCGCCAGCGCTCACCGGCGGCGAAGTTCCACACCAAGGACTGGTATGCGTGGACATACATCAATCGCAGATTACGAGGGATGGCCTGGAGAGCGCCAAGGTAGTCGTTCTGGGCACGGCTAAGTTGACGCATGACAGTGGATTCCGCAGCGAATTTCCGAGGAAGCTTCTCAAGAGCCTTGTTGGCGTTTCCGGTTGTTTCGAAAATGTGGATTGCTTCTGCGCGGGCCTTGTCGTCGGAGCTGACCATGGCAGTCGAGTTCTCGCCCTCCTGAGCGGCAGCCAGAGCATGAGGGCTATACTGAAGGATAGCATCGCAGGCGCCCTTGAAGTCGCCCTGGAGCATCTTGACGCCGACTGTGTCTGTGCGTGTAGCGAAAGTACCGAAACGTTGCAGACCAAAGTAGTTGAAGTAGCCACGCTCGCGGAGATTCCGTAGTGCGGTGCCCACGACGTCCTTTGCCTTCGCAATGGCAGCCTCGCGGTCACTGAAGTCAACACCCGGAATATCGCACTCACGGAGACTGATGACGAATTCGTTGCCATTCAGATCTCCCAAATCAAGGCCATGTTTGCAATGCTCGAAATCGCCAAGAGCAGCATTGCGAAGCGTAGGGTTGATCTTTGCGAGGCGCTCAGCATGTAAACGGTGCGCACAGGCTCTCTGAACAGTAACACCGCGGCGGTCCTTGGTTCCGGCGAACTGGAAGTTCTTCGTGTTTATTTTCAGCTGCCGCGAGATGAACGAGAGGACCTCCATGGTATCCTTGTTCTCCTTGTACAGAGTAAAGTGCAGATAGGGGCCACCCAGCTCATCCCAATTGACCGGTACACGGGGGCGTGCATTGTTACGTCCACCCTGCGCACTGCGGTTGTTCCGGTTTGGCGCAGCAGAAATGACCATCATTCCTTCGCCATCGGTTTGAGACTCGAGTTGCGATTTGAAGATGCGACGGATGGCCTGGTGCATCTTGATGCGCAGGTCGCGGTCATCGACAACAAGAGTGGGAATTTTGGGTAGGTCGCTCGGCTTCGATTTGGGATTGAGGACGGCTCGCTTGTTCAGCGATACAATCTTTTTGGTGGATTCTTCGCCGAACAGGGATTCAAGGAGGGTCATGTCTTCCTCGGGGATCTGGAATTCGGCCGTGTTCTCTGCGCTTGGCGCAGCATCCTTCTCTGCAGAGCCTTCTGGCTTCTCCTGTTGGTCATTCTCTGCGGGTTTGGGCGTGGGAGTTTCCGCGGGCTTAGGCTTCTCCTGTTCTGCTTCCGGGGTGGGGATATTGTGTAGATGCAGGACTTCGCCGGACGGTACGATCTCGTTGACGAGGAAGTCGGTATATCTAGTAGAAGAGGTCGGTAAGCTCCTGTATGCTGGCGTAGTTTGGACTGTAAATACCTCTTCTTCAGGATGCCATAGAATCCTTCATTATCGCCACTGACAAACTCGGTGATTCCAACCTCGAGTTCTCTCGCCTCCTCCGCGGAGAGTTTGGCGGCGTCCGATGGCGCAATTGCCTCGTTGGAGGAAGGAAGCTCAGCATCCTCGGTGATAGGAGTGTTATCGGTCTTGAGGCGCTTGCGCGGCGACTCAATAATATCGGCACCTTCCATAGTAACGGTGGCAGTGATGTTCAACTGTAGTAGTTGCAGCACCTAAAGTCATGAGCGGCTCCAGTCTGGAAAAGTTACCGTCACGTTTTTGCTGCTCCGCATTGGGCTAGAGTGGGGCTAGCCCTAGTGTGGTCGAATGAGGAAGTCTGTTTACATGATCTGATCTATACCACTGACATACCTTCAGTCGATATACTTCAACAATTGTAGCAAAAGTCACCAACATGATTTGCATGAGATTTTCGGAGTTCTCCTCTGCTTGATCTATCTTCCTACTCAGCTATGCACGTATATATTGTACTTATTGCTCCAGCCTCTGTCTTTCTCTCTCGCACTGATTGGAAGTATGCAGATAGAATCTTTCGATTCCCAGATCTGCCATGAGATTAGCCTTGCGTCACCCATATTTTGAACATATATCCAGATGATGAGATGTGATGGTTCTCCTACAGTACATCAGTATCGAAGAAGACATGCAGCCATGCAGACGCTCAAGGGTGTGCTTTCGAGAATACATCATTAACAGTACACATGAGCATATTTATCATTCTTTTAATTCTGCCGCAGATCCACACAAGTGGCCCTTGTGGCGCAATCGGTAGCGCGTAAGACTTGCAAGTACCCCCGACCACGCCTTTAAACGAAACTCCCTACTAACTGTCTCCGAAGCTACTCTGAGATCTTAAGGCTGTGGGTTCGATCCCCACCAGGGGCTTTCAATTTTTTTTAGGCATCCGGGTGCTGTAGTGGGGATCATTTTGTATGTTCTGAAGAGATTCTGACTAGAAGGGGGCTTGATCTGTTCATTATAAGAGAAAGTACGTGGGTGAACTCTGTATTTGACTCAATCACAGTAGAGGATTCGAGGTATGGAGCATGAAATTGTACTGAGGAGATATCTCAGGGTATTCGGCGGCATGGTTCCATTCAGACATTTCTAGAGTTCTCTATATCAAGTACATAAAGGGTTTTTGTAGGTTTTGGAGATTTTCCCCTTAGGGCTGGTATATACATCTGCTTCTGCGGATGAACCTGCAAGGTATGGTTAGTGAAGATCCGGCTCTTATGCCTCTATGTATGAAGATGATACAACATGCAAAGTATAGTCCCTATGGGTATACGCAGTATACCAAAAAAAGGACGGAGTGCGTCACTCAGCTATATAGGCGGACACATGCGCACTGGAATAGGACTCCTACTTTATACCACAGACTATCTACACCTCTTGTCATGCGAGTATTGTCAGACCTCGAACTGATGCTCCTGGAGATTAATCAGTAGCAAATGGACAACGTAGGTGTTAGTACATGCTGCCTAGGGCCACAATATGGCCACCATGATATGGAGCCTTAGCATTACAGCTGCACCTCTAAAATCAGGGAAAGGATGTTCTAGGCCCATTCTGTTAGCAGCAGGTGTTTTATAAAGTCACCATCTACGGCAAATCCCGACCAAACTCGACCAGATGGATGATTTTACGTACAGAAGACCACAACAAGATCCATCATTGGCTTACCGGCCTAGTATAGCATCCATTAGGCACATCAGGCTCATGTGTAGGCTCCTACATGCATTCTAAGCTCCCCTGTGAAAGCCCTATACTGGAGACTCCCGCAACAACAGCAGATACACATTTCCAATCCCCATTCCCACCATAAGACCTACTCTACCACCCCCCAATATAAAACCACTATAAAACGCATTCTACCACCCCAAAATTGCCCACCTCAGGGCCCCTCACCCCCCTCACCCTCCTCCCTCCTCCCCTGCTCAGCAGGCCAAGGGAAAAAAACACTCAAACATGGACACCCTCCTCTATCCCACCCTCCTTCACGACCTCCATCCCCACCTCGACATGAGCCACTGGCCAACCCTCGACCATCACCTCTACCCCTTCTACCCAACGACCACCACCATCCCCCTCCCTCCCCAAACCACCCACAGTGACCCCATCCTCGCCCGCCGCCTCCGCCTCAAAGAATCCGGAATAACCTTCGAATACTACAAGAAACTCTTCTACACACCCCTGGACAACCTCATCCTCA